AAATGCAAGAAGAAAAAAAAAAAAAAAAACAGAACACAAAAACAGAGTAAATATCTAAAAATAATATAAATTTTTCAACATCAGCAACGGAATCCGAATTTTTTTATTTTCATCGATTGTGGTGAGATGAATAGGAATGACAAATTTACCGTCTGAAAAATGTAGAATAAAGGCTATGATAAGTAAACCAAACCCCATTGAGATCCATTGTTTTAGCCTCTCACCATGACCCTGAAATAAAATTGGTCCATTGTTACTCAATTGTTGTCACGTGCTCGATCGATATATTTAACTTATATACACTAACACTATAACAAACTTTTACATTTATAAGTACACTTTAACCAAATGTAACACATGATAGTATAAAAATTCTTCTACGTTGTCAGTTTATAAAAGTTAAATCGTTGAAAGACGGTTGTTACCTTAAAATGAATCAAGACATGTCCATAATGTATGCCAATTGTTCCAGACATGATAGCTGAAATTGAACTAAACAGAGGAAACAGAGAAAATGTTCTTAGCTTAAAATTGTGTAAATATATTTTTTCTTTTTCGATGAATAGATTTCAAACACGATATATATATATATACGAACCTTAGCAAACCTTCAGGTTCAAATGGAGCGCGACACCAAGTAGGAGCATCATCGCGAAATGGACCTGTTTCTGGATAACTCAATGTACATGCCTAAATATATATTATCACTATAATTTAGTGATTTCAAATTAAGATTCTTAATACAATAATCATCGTAGTTAGCTTTGATTATATTGTGATACCTTGGAACGTGCCCAAACAGGTTGATTGTACAGATGATTGATACCCCAAACTTGTCGATCAACATAACCTACTGCATTGCAGGCAGGTCCTAAATGCCCCCTCATACCACATTTTACCTGAAAATTTTCACCAAGGGCGGAACTACAATATTAGCTATGGATTCAGATAAAGTTCAAATCCTGAATACGCATCTAAGTATACTATTTTAATGTTGTATACAGTGTATCTTTGTGATGTATCTCCGTCGTGCTCCAGAAAGTTCCAGTCAGGAACATAAAGACCATATAATGTTGTCATGTAAACAACGAATGCAACGAATCCTCCAAGCCTACAAACAACGATAACAAGATCCAATTTTTTGTTAAATTTGCAATCTCATTGTCACCTATTATCAAAAGGCCACGTGTTTGAACCATGAAAAATAATCAGGCCAACACGTGAGGAGTGTGTTGGAAGACATAATATTAAGTAAACAAAAGCGTACTCTCTATATATAACAAATTAAGCTTTTAGATGATCGTATGGTCAAACAATTAAACAAGTTCTATGACACGAAAGAATTTCACATTTTCTTGAACCATTCAACATGAAATGAGTAAAGAATCAAACTATAAGTCTCAAATTTATACGAAATGTACAGGACGACGCGATGATTAACAATTGTGCTTGCTTACCATTGCCATTTATAGGCAGTGAAAATTGAGAAATGGCCAGGGGTTAAAGTTGTTGGCCTCAGCTTGGTAGTTAAGATCTCTATTAAAGCCACTATCAAGTACACCAAGGCTATTCTCTGTAAAATTTGCACATAACCAAAAAATAAATAAAAAAATTGTATTAGATTGAAAAATAATAATTCATTTCCATATAATAGCTACCTAAATTTGACACCATTTTTCATTTAGACACCTTATTGTGGGATCTGACATACTGAACACCTAGTGAAAAATAGCATTGAATAGGGGAATGTCGATGCATTTGGCCAAGCTCAAAGGACAAATAGATCAACGGTTGCCCCTCTAAATTTGACACCATTTTTCATTTAGACACCTCATCGTCAGAGTTTGATATATTGAACACCTATTAAGAAATAGTGTTGAGTAGGGGCTAGTCGATGTATTTGGCCTAGCTCAAAGGTCAAATAGATCAACAACCGCTTCCCTGAACCGACACCATTTTTCATTTAGACACCTCATTGTGGTATCTGATATATTGAACAACCTAGTGAAGAATGGCGTTGAATAGGGGGTTGTTGATGCATTTGGCCTAGTTCAAAGGACAAATTGACACCATTTTTCATTTAGACGTGTCATCATGGGATCTGACATATTGAACACTTAATTGAAAGATAGCGTTGAGTAGTTGGCCATTGACAAATTGATCAACAACCCCTTAAGTTTAGCACAATTTTTTATTTAGACACCTCATCGATCGTGGGAGTATCACATATTGAATACCTATTGAAAAATAGCGCTAAACTATGTCACTCGAATCCTTCAGAAATATTGTTGTATCCATGTCGGAGGACTTTACACACACCTGAAGATATTTTTGAAGAGTCCGAGCAACATATAGACATCAAGTAAAGAATGAAAGAGGTTGAGATCACCTGTAGAATACCACACCATCTTATTACTTTCATGTCCACTCCATAAGCTAGATCATATGGTGCATGTGAGTATCCTCCTGCATTAATGCATACACAAATTCTTATTTATCTAGGAAAAAAAATATAATTTCAGTTTGGACTTAACTTATATACATTGATGACTGATATTTAAAGAATTTTATACTCGAAACTTAAACTCTTTCTCCTAATTGTATACAAGTAAAAATTTTCATTTTAAAAAAAAATTGTCTTTGAAATAAACAAAATTTGTTTGATCAACAAGAGGTTGTAAAATTTATAAATCATACCTTGTAGAATTATTCCCCAAAAGAGAAGCTTCAATGTCCTTAGTGTTACTTTTCTAATTGCAGCACTAACCTTGGGAACTCTCTGAAAAGCCACAAATAGCTCCATTAAAATGATTCCAAGATTTAAAAGTTTTATTTCACTTTTGAATAATGGACTATTTATAAGAATGACTTTGGAGGTAGGTGGTCCTGAACTTTTGACCTCGCTTGTCGTATGAGCAAAACTTCAACTTTAACAATTTTTGACCTTGAAAATTTGCCCATCAGACAAGCAGAGTCAAAAGTTCAAGATCATCTACTTTCAAAGTTATCAGGTGTAATTTCCTGAATTATAACGTGTCATTATATATTTTTGAAGAAATAATATCCATTGATCACTTTTCGGATATATCTATAAAAAATTGGTATTTTCCTAAAGTTTCACTAGTAGAATTTAAAATTTCATCATAGAAACTATTATATATTTTAATTACAAGGACTTAAAAGTGACTATTTTTGTGAGATTATGTATACCTTCAAGGCAAGAGCAATTGCAACCCCTACAATGAAGAGAAAAAATGGCATTACAAAATCAGCCAATGTGCAACCATTCCATGGTGAATGATCAATACGTGCATATGCTCCTCCAGCATCATCTACCAATATCATCAACTATATAAAAAAAATAAAAAAATCGCAAGGGAAGTTAGTGTTACGAAGCAATAGAGAAAAAATAAATAATAAGTAGTGGTATTAGCAAGGTAAAGAACAACATAGAGAAAAACTACAACAGTTGTACTAGATTCATCGAGTTTAACTTTTACATATTGATGATAATATGAATAAAATAAATCACACTATCAATTCACCAAAATGACAAATGAGCTAAACTTATTAAATTAATGGTGTAGAGGATTTTTCACACTATCAGGTCATTAAATAAGTTAATCTCAAAATAAAGATAAGTAACAATTCACAAAAAGATAAAACAAGTAATCTAGAAAAAGCAAGAATATAGCCACGTGCTGCAACACGTTAAAATGAATTAATAATTTTATATTATCAGTAAATATAAGTTAAATCGTGTACCACTATAGTGAGACCTCTAAATGCATCCAATGTTGCAACCCTTTTACCCTTCTTAATAGTTGGTTGTTCTTCTTCCTCTTTTTGCAATGGTTGGCTCAATGTTTTTAGCTCATTTTCATGGCTAGCCAAATCTTGATTATTATCAATTCTATTTGTATCAATATTTTCTTCACTAATATTATTCTTTTGATTGCCAAATCCTTCTTCTAACTTCTTGGGATCCTCCATAAAAGCTAATATAATTCACTCTCTTACTTTTCTTTTTTAAATTTCAAATAACTTGCATGAATTTATAATACTAGTGTGAAATTCTAACCATAATAAAATATATAAATAAATTGATGGGGAAATGGACAAGGCTAAAATCAAAGCCGGCTATTTAAATTTAATTTTTAGCCTCTAACTTGGATGGATTATATCTATATAAAAAAGCTAGTAATTAACTATATGTATAGAAAGTTTTTTTTTCCTAGTGGCAATGTTTGAATTTTTTTTTTTTTGAATTATATTGATGATTCATCATAGAAATGGAATTAGACAAATCAAGAGTTTTCTCTGGAGTAAATGAAGACAGAGAAATGTCGGATTTACACATAAATGGTGCTAATTAGCGCGTTAATTTATTAGATAGAAATTCTTTGTCCTTAATATGGAGTGAGAGAACGACTTTACCTTCTAATGTGAGACTTCTTGAGTTTTGACACAAATTTAAATTTAATCGGACATTAGTACATATATAAAATATCGAGTGGACAATCTTAAAATACATCATGTATACTTGTTTAATTTTTAATTAACTTCAACTCTTTAACAACTTCTGAATGTTGGTCAAACACATGGAATCAAATTATTATACTTTAAAATCAACCTTAATTTACTATATGATTGAATCTATTTGTCCTAGCAATATTTAATAAGTGATTTTTTTACTCTCTCAACTACGTTAATGGTTGGTAAAAGAGTCAAAAAGGATGAAAACAAAATAGACTACAAAAAGTGGGTGGAATTGCAACTCTTCCACTTTGTTTCAATGAGTTTCAATAAGAGCAAAACAAAGGGGTTATATATGTAGTCAATAGTCAAGATGTCACAATTTTGTCACACAAGAGTTTGAATCACAATAATCTTATCTTGGTCGTCGATAAGATTTTTCTTTTTAAAATTTAGTAGGTCCCACTCATTAAATGAAATCCACTTCGAATTCTGATTAATCATATGTAATCATGATTCATGTAAGAAAGTCTCAATTTAAAAGTAAACTGCTTCCTATCAAAAGTGATTTTATTCCAAAATTCGAATGTGGCACCTTTAATTAAAAATAGAAGTTATGTACTTTGTGTTTGTAAGGAAGTCAACAAGCAATTATATAGCTGCCGGCCTAAGATTCTCAAACATCCAAATTGCTACAAAGACTTATAAGTATAAATGAATTAATCTTTTTTGTACATAATATTTAGTATTAAAAATTAAAATCCCTCATAATATGTTTTTACTATATGTTAATCAAAACTCCAAACAAAACTCCATATAATTTGTCACACAAAAATTAGTCTTTGCACAAACAATGTCAATTGCAAATTTTAGCCTCCATTTGCTCACTAGTAGATGGTACATGGCATTTTCTTCTTTAATGATACTATTTATGTCTGGTGCAACTTTCATATTTGGCCTTTATTCAGGGGATATAAAATCCAAATTTGGTTATGATCAAACAACACTAAATTTAATTAGCTTTTTCAAGGATTTGGGTGGCAATTTAGCCATAATTTCTGGTCTAATCATGGAAATTGTACCACCTAGGGCAATTTTGGCTATTGGTGCAATTTTGAATTTTTTTGGTTATTTCATGATATGGTTGGGTGTAACGGGGCGAATTTCGAAACCCCATGTATGGCAAATGTGTTTGTACATTTGCATTGGTGCAAATTCTCAGTCATTTGCAAACACTGGAGGAACTGTCACATGTGTCAAGAACTTCCCCGCTAATCGAGGCATAGTGTTAGGCCTATTAAAAGGCGCAGTTGGCCTAAGTGGCGCGATCATGACACAATTGTACCTTGGTTTTTATGGTGACAAGAAGGGTGAGTCCTTGATCTTGTTGGTTGCTTGGCTACCTGTCCTTGTCTCGTGCATATTCCTCCCATCGATTCGTATTATGAAGGTTATTCAGCAAGAAAATGATGTCAAAATGTTCTTTAATCTTCTTTTTGTTTCACTTGGACTTGCTATTTTTCTCTTGATTATGATCATCATACAAAAAAAGTTCACTTTTAATAGGGTTGAGTATGTTTTAAGTGGTGTTGTTGTTCTAGTTCTAATATTCTCACCATTGGTTTTAGTCATTAGAGAAGAATTTAACATTTGGAAGAGCAAAAAAGGACTAGTCTCTAGTGACATTTCACAATTGAACGCGTCAATTCAAGTGGAAAATCCTCCTTCATCAAAAACAAATTGGAGTTTGTGCTTTAAGAGCGCGTTTAATCAACCAGAAAGAGGTGAAGATCACACAATCTTGCAAGCATTCTTCAACATTGACATGTTGATTCTATTTGTAGCTACAACATTTGGGGTTGGAGGTACATTAACATCGATCGATAACTTAGGTCAAATTGGGAAGGCCTTAGGCTACCCTGACTCAAGCATCAGTACATTCGTGTCATTAGTGAGCATATGGAATTACCTAGGAAGAGTATCCTCAGGATTTGCCTCTGAAATCTTGTTAAGCAAATACAATTTTCCGCGCCCCTTGATGCTCACTCTCGTGCTCCTACTCTCGTGCATTGGCCATCTTCTCATTGCATTTGGTGTTCGAAATTCACTCTACGTGTCCTCTGTTCTCATGGGGTTTTGTTTTGGAGCTCAATGGCCATTGATTTTGTCGATAATTTCGGAATTATTTGGACTAAAGTACTATGCCACATTGTATAATTTTGGCTCTGTGGCGAGTCCTATAGGTGGATATATACTCAATGTGAGAGTTGCTGGTCATTTATATGATAAAGAAGCATTGAAACAATTAGAAGCTAAGGGAATTTTCACTAGAAAAATTGGAGAAGTTTTGAATTGTGTTGGGGTACAATGTTATAAACAAGCATTTTTAATAATTAGTGGTGCTACATTTGTAGGTAGCATTGTTTCATTGATTTTGGTGTTGAGAACAAGAAAATTTTATGCAACTGATATATACAAGAAATTTAAACAAGAGAGTCAAGTAATACAAGACACTATTGTCACTTCAAGGGAAAATAATTGAACACCATGCATATGGTGTGACGTCGTCGTGTAGAAGTCAATTCAGAATTTGAAATCAGTACGTACGTGCAGCGTAATTATATCAATCATTACTATATTGTAATGAAGATGCCAATCTATTAAATGTATATTATTGTTTTAAATTATTGAGTTATTCTAATTTTATAAAGAAAATTATGGTTTATTCTAACTTTCATCAAGTAGGTCATTATTTTTTTTGTTAAACTCCTACGAAAACGAATTTAAGTATGTTCAAAATTGATCTATACATGTATATCACTAAACTTTGCTGCTTTGTATGATTATATGAAAAATATTAATTTCTTAACATTTATAATTTTAATTTGTTCTTTTTAAATAATTTTCAAATACATTAGAAAAAAATATCACTAAATCAAATATTTAATTCAAATGTATGAATTTGATATGATGTTAAAATAAAAGCATCGAAAGTTATTTGTGTGAGAAAAAAAAAGTAGGAGCAGAGACGAGGGTAAATATAACTTTTTTCTATCAAGGATAAATATGAACCCAAACTTGGATGATAGGGTAAATATATTAAAAAAATATAACGATGGTAAATATAACCCTTTTTCTTTTAAGTAAAGAAGCAAATATAACCCTTTTCCTATATATATATATTTAAGATTGTAATATTGGGCGCATAATCTGCAGTAGAAACCCTAGCAGCAGATGGCACAAAAGAAGAAGTGTGTATCCTCCCATCGCCATGGCCATGGAAATTTAGCAAGTAGAAAAACTCCCAATAAGAAGAAATCCATCGTAAACACAAAAAAAACTAATATTATTGGAGATGAAGAAGCTACCCAAAAATTCAAGGTAAGTTGTTTTTGAACTAACTTTAGTTGTTGTAGCAAATCTCTGATGTATTCTAATTTTCCAATCTAGGTCATAAGAATTTATTTACAAGAGGAAATAATGATGGAGATCCTCAGAAGGTTACCTATGCGGTCTCTTCTTCGGTTCAAATGTGTTTGGAAGTCATTAATTGATGATCCTTACTTTAGGAGGACACATTATATTCATAACAAGGATGACCAAAATTCCCAAAAAATTCTTACCATGGAAAGGTTATTTATGAAGGATGAAGCGTTTAACTTCTATACTTGTTCTTTATCGACGCTTGAGGATAAACAAAAGCTTGATTGGCCTTCAAGCTGCAAACCAAATATTGCCAGAATATTTTGTTCTTGTGATGGATTGGTTCTTATTCTTGTTTCTTCTGGAGGATACAATGAGGAACTTGTGTTGTGGAACCCGTCCACAAGAGAATCAATACTACTTCCCCATCCAGAATTTCCAGTGAGGACTTGTGTATGTGGATTGGAATATGATGCAACTAGTGAAGACTATAAGATCCTTGCAATTAACCTCAATGCAGCTGATAGTTTCTATACTTCGATTGAATTACTCTCTCTAAAGAGTGGTTCCTGGAGAAGAATTGGTTATCCTACTAGCATTAAGCCTATGCCTGTTTGTGGTTTTAGGGATTGTGGTATGGATTATTTGGCATTTCTACATGGAGCATTTCATTGGCTTGGTATGTCACGCTCTGGATATTATACTACCGTTTCATTTAATATTTCAAATGAGATGTATGGGGAGGTACCGTTATTGGAGCAAATGTTTGGTGTAAGCCCCCGCTACTATACCATCGACCATGGTGTTTCAGTATTGAGAGGAATGCTTTGCTTTTATTCTACACATAATCATTGGACGGAGGGAAGGATTGGCACTTTTAAGTTGTGGATAATGAAAGACTATGGTGTCAGGGAATCTTGGACTAAGTTGATTGAAATACGAGATACTAATCTTTTTCATTCAGCCAGACCAAAATATATGTTTGCAGATTGTCAAGTGTTACTACAGTACAAAGGTAAGAGATGTTTTAATTCTAAATTCACGACATCTAGAGGACCATTTGAATTCTGTCCTAAATGTAATATCACTAAGCA